GGAGGAAATCGAGTCGTCATATCTTCACCTTCACTTCTATCCCCCGCTATTGCGCAGCGCCACTGTGCGCAAGTTCTTGGTCGGGTGAGTGGATTTCAGCTATCACGTTACGGTAAAAGTTTGCTGATGAGTTATAGGTATGAAATGATGGGCGAGCCCCAGCGTGACATTACACCCGAGCAAGCGGCCGCGAGGTTGCGAGGTTGCGGAGGAGAGCTCTACAGGAAGAAGATGGACTAAGAACAGAGAATATTGGATAGAACTGGATTGTATGTTGTATACCTATGTGTTCTGACAGCAATGAATACTTGCGTTCGTGGGTCCATCGGACCAGTCCCGGCCGGCTTCTGTGTTTCGGATCTGTATCGACTCCTGTCATACCCCTGCGAGAAAGGGAACTAATCGGATATGCATGTCTCAATTACCCACGCGCCATTAATGACTTGCACCCTTACTTCAGCTCAGCCTCTATCCCTTGCCAGCTCCTGCGTCATCATGATCGTCCTTTTCGATATCTCCACAGCTCAGCTACATACTCCGTAGCATAACTCCGACCAGTGAACTGCTATGGAGCGGCTGAGCTGTGCGCTCGGCGTAACTTTACCTGTCTAGTATTAACCTTAGGAGGTGAAACATGGTTCACCTCTGAGAGCACTGAATGAATCGCCCAATCTCGATTTACGAACTTTGCTTGGCCTTCTACATGCGTTGACATTGGCACATGAGGGACTATCAGCCAGAACCGACATTTCACATCATCATACGTAGAATAAGCGGATTAGACTCCGTGCCTTGACCGATAATAGATCTTCACAACTATTCCTTTTCCTTTTCATTACATTATTGATATGGTCATAACCTAGCCGATCCATAGCTTGTCCCTGCGCTAAGAAATGGAGCATGCATCGAAAAGCAACCAGCCGCTAATCCGGCGAATTATAATTGGAGATCCAGCCCAACCTAAGCAGCCAGATACGCCTCCCTCTGCGTCAACATCCAAGCAAGAGTAGACGAAGCAACAATCAAAGGGCTAACGAAACGACCCTTAAGCTGCGCACTTCCGAAGCCCAACCACTCGCCGACAAAGTGTACCAGGGCAATGCCAAAAGTCCAAATCGCCAGATCGTAAACAGCAGGGTTGTTGAGGTTGTAGGCGGCGTAAATGCGGACTACGGAGGAAAGGAAAGTCCATGTGCCGAAAGTCCGAGAAGAGAGGGGGTTGGTGTGCGGGCGACCTTCAGCAGTTTTTCCGTTGTAGAGATCTGCGGCGTAGGACTCCGATCGGTAGGCTTGGATGCTGTTTGCGGCGGAGACGACGGAGACCTGAATGGAGAAAAGTGGTCAGGTTAGCATGGGGTCGGTCCGGGGAACGGAGGTGTAGTGTAAACAAATGGGGGTGGTACCAAAAAGAGCCATTTGGGCAGCAGACCCTCGAAGGGGGGGAGGTAGGAGAGGAGAGAGGCCATGATTACTATGCGAAGTTGTACTCCGGAGAGTCTAACAGAATTGGCTGTGGAGAGATAGAGTTGTGGAAGATCAATTGGTTGGGAAAGACTGATAATTGCGATGAGGATATTGCTTCTTTGGAGTGGCCGAGGTCTGTCCGCTTGGGGGGTCTTGGCACCGCCCATCCCCAACCATTATTCTGCCTTTATGATTGCTGCCGCATCTCCGTCCGTCTCCGGATTCTTCTTTCTGCAGCCAGCTTCCATCCCCACAATATTCAATCGCCACGGGTTGAACAACAAGCAATCATGGAGTTTCTGACAAAGCATCTGGACTGTCTGTCCAACTTCCAGTTGAACCTGCAGCCTGGCTGGCAGACCGTGGGCGCCTCGGCTCTTCTCGCCGCTGGCAGCTTGTTCGTCGTCTCTCGCGCACTCGTTTTCGTCAGGGTCCTCCTGAGCTTGTTCGTGCTCCCTGGCAAGCCCGTATGTTGTCCCTCATAATATCAATTGGAGAATATGTCGCTGATTTTCATTTTTCCAGCTCCGCTCCTTCGGCCCTAAGGGCAGCTGGGCCGTGGTCACAGGTGCCTCCGATGGACTCGGCAAGGAATTCGCTCTTCAGCTCGCCCGCGCTGACTTCAACATCCTCCTCGTCTCCCGTACCGCCTCTAAGCTCGATACCCTTTCCAATGAGATCACATCCAAGTTCCCCTCCGTGCAGACCAAGACCCTGGCGATGGACTTCGCCCGCAATGACGACAGCGACTACGAGAAGCTGAAGGAACTGGTGGACGGATTGGACGTGTCCGTTCTGGTCAACAACGTTGGAAAGAGTCACAGCATCCCTACTCCCTTCGCTCTGACCCCCGAGGATGAGATGACTGATATCGTGACCATCAACTGCCTGGGTACCTTGCGGGCAACCCAGCTGGTCGTTCCGGGTATGATGCAGCGCAAGCGCGGATTGGTCTTGACTATGGGCTCGTTCGGTGGACTTCTCCCTACCCCTCTTCTGGCTACCTACTCCGGCAGCAAGGCTTTCCTGCAGCAATGGTCCACTTCCCTTGGTTCGGAGCTCGAGCCCTACGGAATTACTGTCGAGTTGGTCCAGGCCTACCTTATTACTTCTGCTATGTCCAAGATCCGCCGGACTAGTGCTACGATCCCCGACCCCCGCTCATTCGTGAAGTCGGTCCTGACTAAGATTGGCCGCAATGGCGGATCTCCCACGTACGCGTACAGCTCTTCCCCCTACTGGAGCCACGGATTGATGGCCTGGTTCTTGACCTGCGTCACCGGTACCATGGGCAAGATCGTCGTTGGCCAGAACAAGGGTATGCACGAGTCTATCCGGAAGCGTGCTCTGCGCAAGGCCGAGCGCGAGAAGGGCAAGAAGAGCACCTAAGGTGCTTGGCAGTCGCTTCTAGATGATGACTCACGTGCGTTTGCCGATCAACCTGGGGTAAGGGGAGAGATAAAGAAAGGAACAAAAATGGAAGTATGGAGAAGAACGAGCCGGTGGGGGAGAGTGTCTGTGTGTGAACTGAACCCTGAGCTGAATCTGAATCCACTGGGGGACGTGTGGCGAACGAAGAGTCTCGGAGTTCGGTGAAAGGTGCATGCAGCTATGGAGCCAGATCGAAGACCGTCCAGATAGGAGCGGGCCGCATCTTATCTTCAACGGAGGGCACAGGTCCGGATGGACCTTACCTTTTACAAAGTACTCTACTAACCTACACGTGGTGTGTGGTGTCTGTCGACAGGGCCAATCAAACCTCCGACCAGGGGGTTGGTGACTACGCAATCCATGATCGACAGCACCAAGATGATATGATATACTATGTTTAGCAGAAACAGATAGCATAAAGTACGGATTAATCTAATAATGTGGAAGGGGAAGATCTTCGCTTCGCAGTTACCTCGGTGCTCTTTATTCTACTATCTAAGGTATAGTCTCCGCTAAACTTATCAAGTATGCGCACTACAGAGCATGGTCCAGTGCAATACAATGCAATGCAGTGCAGATATGCAAATATCCACCGAGATCTCGGAGTTCGGAATCTGCACATCCCAAAGCATAACTGAGTTGAACTCAATCGGGCTGGACTAGATGGATGGGGGGCCATCCGTCCTAATCTTGGGACCACCGCCGGTGAATAAATCTTGTGTCTGTGTCTCGGCTCTCTCTTTCTCTCTTGGATGACTTGCAGATAAGGGTGAAGAGGGACCCTGTGGGACTGCGATTGTGCTACACTACCGAACTGAGGAGAATTTCCTGCATGGATAGTGCAGTACTAGGAGTAAACAGGTTTCTGCACTCGGAGAATAGAATGGTGTGCGAGAAAACCTCCGTAGGGGAGGAGACTCGGAGAGAAGAGGAGTCTTATATATAGAACAGCTTAAGTGGTCCTGGAACGTGGTACAGACGATCAGATAGATAGTAGATCACCTTCCAGATTTGCTTTTGATAAATAGTATTTATTGAAGCTTAGCCAGGCATGTTGACTGTCAAGAATAGTAGTCTAGTTACTTCCAAGGTTTCTAGAGGCGACTATGTAGATAGAACAGCCAGAAAGTGACCAAAAGACGAAGAGTGAGAGAATGTCGAATGATATCATGATCCTCAGCTTGCGGCTCTCTTTGCCAAGTACTTGGCTTAGTAGGGCAGTCTAATGGACATCTACCCATACAATATTATTATCTGAACATAATAATGATTCCACATACACCACATGACACAATCCCTCCATCCATCCATCCTCATGACCCTATTCAAGCTTCCCACTATCACCATCACCACCACCGCCACCACCAGCAAGAAAGAACAAACTAGCCCTGGCAACGTCCCATCGCACCGTCACCTCAAAACTCTTCACGAAATCCCTGACAGCACTTCTTCCTAATTACTCTACCTAATCCTCTTAGTAATAAACCCAAACCCACCGCCCTCTCCCCTCTCATAGGCCAATTCCACCCAAAGATTCCATTGCATGGGTCGACCCCTGTTCCTGAAAAATCTAGACCCTAGCAAGAAAAAAAACGAGAGCTGGTACGACTTACGGTGGCCACTTCCATTCACGAGGAGCCAGCTAAAGATTACTAGCTCCCGAAGCAGCATCACGCAGGAAAACAACCTACCCGCCGTCACACAACATATTGCAACATCCCATCCCTCTGTGGCTAAAAGTATGTAGTACTACTATTATAATATCAATTTACGGGTGTACTCTTTTCCATTATTGCTTTCTTGCTGTTGGAGATAAGTAGGTAGTAGGTAGGTAGTAGATCTGGGATGAGGCAATTACGTCAGGTGTGGTGTGTTGTCCTGAGGTGGTGAAACGCTGGCTGGTGGAACCTGCTACCTACGCTGGTTACTTACCTTTCTTGGGAGGGGGTGGGTTTTTTTTTGTTGAGTATGGATAGTGGGACGGACGGGATGGGTCGAAGAGAAATTTCTTTTCTTTCTCTGGTTAGGTTATTTTAGGTTAGGTTTGGGTATCGACCGGGTTGGTTGGTTGGTTGGCTTTGTCTCGGGCTCGGTGAGTGGGTTGCGTGATGCTCTTTGTCTTATTGTCTCTCGCTTTCGGGATACTACGTAGGCTGAGGGTGCCGGGATTGTGTGGTCGGGTTGCATTATTATTCTTCTAGTTGTTGTTATATTTTACTCTGGGAGTGCATATAATGCTCTCATTACGTCCTGACGATGTTACTGATGTTCTATCTGGGTTTACAACGTGAGCTTGAGGGTAGACAGCAAGCAACGTCTCTCTCTTGCGGCATTACGGCATGCCGAACCCGACCTAACGGAGGAAAGTGAAACCTCACCGGAAGCCGAAAAGGTCATCGATTGCAGGCCGGTCAAGTTCCGACCGAATCCATGGTAAGAGAGGGAGATCTCTGATAGGCTGGGTGGTGCGAGTCAGGCTATATGAGCTCCAGCTGAAGCTGGACCTGAGCATCGACGTGCACGAGGGGTTGTGGTTGGATGAAAATTTTCGTTGGTGGGGAAGATCAGCCAACGCTAAACAGAAGATCCACAGGCCCGGTGAGCTCCAAACGGGAAGGGACGAGAAGTGGTGCGTAGTTAGCGTGAGATATCGGCACACCGAAGGCAGTTGGATGGACAGGCATCCCGAGACCGAGACGGTCGGCGGATGGCCGAAGTGCTCGGGATGGACGACGGTGAGACTGGAAGTGGTCTCGGTGAGCAGGGTTGGCCGCTTAGGTGTCATGTACTTATCAGCGACGGTCGCTGCTTATGATGATATTTAGATTGATGGTTAAAATTTCTCCCTCTTGCATCTGCATTGTCGGAGGAGATTATACTTCCCACCCTCCTTCATTTTTTCCCCCTTCCCTTTGCACGCTGGCGGTCGGGCAAAAAGTGAAAAAGCATGTGTTCGTGAGAGTTCGGGATCGGCCAAGAGCCAAGAGGGGATTATCCCAACGCATGCAGAGTCAAAAATTAGAATTTTCTAAAAAGAAAAATTCTTTCGTGGTTGGACCCACTTCGCGCCCGGTGATCTCCCTCGTTTGGGCTTGAGATTGCGTTGGAACCGGCAACTTTACTACGACTGAGCTCTTTTCGCGGTGGCTCAGGGGCTGATCTGAAGGAAGGGAGAGGAAAAAATTTTCCTGCTGAGTTTGACAGACAGGTAATGGAAACGAAGAAGATTCCAGGAACGTAGTGGATCATAATGAATGCTCGTCAACAATGCTTTGTTCAGCAGGCGGGCTGAGGTTCCAGGAGGGTTCTGACTAAGGTTGTTGCATGGCTGCGGGAGGCAGGGCGATAGTAATATTAGACTGCGTTAATATTATGCAGGCGTGGCTTTTCTTACTGCACCCGGCCATCACTTGAATCAAGGGAGGGTGGAGATCAGCCCATGTCGCCCCCCTCCTTCCAAACAAAACAAATCATTCATTCATTTCGTCAAGATACTTCCCTTCCCTTCCATTCTGTGACACGGAATGGCCGGAGACAGCGATGTTTTAGCCACTGGGATTGCAGTATGTGGTGATGGTCTCGGGTAACGTCAACATGTCAATGAAATCCATGATGCAAACCGTTATGGTTGTACGTAAATTGTTTTGTCTCGTGACGGGAAATAGTCTGCCAACCCGACAACAGCCGCATCATCATAATAATTGTTTTAGATTATGATTCGGTTGAAGGAGGACTCGGTACCATTCAATCATCATCGTCATCATCAGCAGCCATCATGATCAAGATGAAAACCTTTTCTTCAGGATCAGTGTCACGGTCACACTGTGGCAAGACAGTCTGTGTAGCCGATCTGGAGATTTTTTACTCCGTACAAGGGTTGAAGATATCATGATGGACGACAGCATCATCATCACCATAATCATCACAATGAAGCTGTATACGAAGAGTATAGTACGTAGTTAGTATGTATGTATGGATGGATGGATGTATGTATTTACGGGGTATACAGAATGTGTAGAAGAATCAGTCAAGATCCGGAAGGCACGACTCAAGAATCTACCGAAAGAGGCAAGAATGTTGGTAACAAAATAACAGCAAAGCAAAAGCAGGTGATGCCCTCGTGACCTGCCCGCATCCATCTTCAATTCCTCCCGTCAGGAACTCCAGCTTCTATCCACTCCATTCCTTCCTTAGCGTTACTCCATCCAATCTCCAGTCTTCTCTCCATCTCGGTTCGTCTCCATCCGCTTTTTCTCCGCCGGCGAAAACGGATTCCCCCCGATTCAGGTACTCACCGTCCACATCTCCCCGTTTGTCGTAGCCTGCTCCGGCTCTCTCCAGACAGTCTCTCCACTCTCTCCCCACTCCAAGACACGCTCTCGAAGCATCCAATGAACTCTCCGCCCCCTAGCTTCCGAATCTCCCACCTCGTTCGCCTGTCTTCGGGCCCTTGAGATCTGGGCCCCCGTTTTTTCTTGCCATGGTCCTACCCCGAGGATGGGGTCCCTCCAATCCCTGGGATGGAGGCGAATTGCCGACGGATGGAGCGTCAAATTCTTTCACTTCCATTTTAGTGGCATTCACTCGTTGACGCCGTCATACTTACCGATTTCATCCTTGTGTGCGGCCCTCTTCCCCCCCCTCTCCCCTCCTCTCCCCCTCTGCCCGGACCCCATATATATCCCTCCATCTCCCCCGGGTCTGTCAGCCCTTTGGATGTCTTTCACTTCCATCAAACTTTTCTTTTTCCCATCTTCCCATCCCTAGCAGAGGATTCCGCTTTGAATGAATCCATCGGCAACATGGGTGTCTCTAATATGATGTCCCGCTTCAAGCCTCAGGCGGACCACTCTGAGTCCTCCACGGAGGCTCCTACTCCTGCTCGCTCCAACTCCGCCGTTGAGAAGGACGATGTCATGCTCGATGACAGTCCCGTCAAGTACCTGACCTGGCGTTCCTTCATCCTGGGTATCGTCGTGTCCATGGGTGGTTTCATCTTCGGTTACTCTACTGGTATGGGGACATCTATCTTCTACACAAGGTCACACTTCGGTTGCTAACATTCATCCACTATCCAGGTCAAATCTCTGGTTTCGAGACTATGGATGACTTCCTCCGCCGTTTCGGTCAGGAGCAGGCTGATGGCTCCTATGCCTTCAGCAACGTCCGTAGTGGTCTCATCGTCGGTCTGGTAAGTGGCATACAACACCATGGACTGTCCATGGAGACCAACCCGACTGACAATCTCTTCAGCTGTGTATCGGTACTATGATCGGTGCCCTGGTTGCTGCTCCTATCGCGGACCGCATGGGCCGCAAGCTTTCCATCTGTCTCTGGTCTGTCATCCACATTGTCGGTATCATCATCCAGATTGCCACCGACTCCAACTGGGTTCAGGTCGCTATGGGTCGTTGGGTTGCCGGTCTGGGTGTTGGTGCCCTCTCCAGCATTGTCCCCATGTACCAGAGTGAATCTGCTCCCCGTCAGGTCCGTGGTGCCATGGTCAGTGCCTTCCAGCTGTTCGTCGCCTTCGGTATCTTCATCTCCTACATCATCAACTTCGGTACCGAGAGAATCCAGTCGACTGCTTCCTGGCGTATCACCATGGGCATTGGCTTCGCCTGGCCCTTGATTCTGGCCATTGGCTCTCTCTTCCTGCCCGAGTCTCCTCGTTTCGCCTACCGCCAGGGCCGTATCGATGAGGCCCGTGAGGTTATGTGCAAGCTCTACGGTGTCGGCCCCAACCACCGCTGCATCGCCCAGGAGATGAAGGACATGAAGGACAAGCTCGACGAGGAGAAGGCCGCCGGCCAGGCTGCCTGGCACGAGCTGTTCACCGGCCCTCGCATGCTCTACCGTACCCTGCTCGGTATTGCTCTGCAGTCCCTCCAGCAGCTGACCGGTGCCAACTTCATCTTCTACTACGGTAACAGTATCTTCACCTCCACTGGTCTGAGCAACAGCTATGTCACTCAGATCATTCTGGGTGCTGTCAACTTCGGTATGACCCTGCCCGGTCTGTACGTCGTCGAGCACTTCGGTCGTCGTAACAGTCTGATGGTTGGTGCCGCCTGGATGTTCATCTGCTTCATGATCTGGGCTTCCGTTGGTCACTTCGCTCTGGATCTCGCCGACCCCCAGGCCACTCCTGCCGCTGGTAAGGCCATGATCATCTTCACCTGCTTCTTCATCGTTGGTTTCGCCACTACCTGGGGTCCTATTGTCTGGGCCATCTGTGGTGAGATGTACCCCGCTCGCTACCGTGCTCTCTGCATCGGAATTGCCACCGCTGCCAACTGGACCTGGAACTTCCTCATCTCCTTCTTCACTCCCTTCATCTCTAGCTCCATTGACTTCGCCTACGGCTACGTCTTTGCTGGATGCTGTTTCGCCGCCATCTTCGTTGTCTTCTTCTTTGTCAACGAGACCCAGGGTCGCACTCTTGAGGAGGTCGATACCATGTACGTGCTCCACGTCAAGCCCTGGCAGAGTGCCAGCTGGGTTCCCCCGGAGGGCATTGTCCAGGACATGCACCGTCCCCCTTCCTCTTCCAAGCAGGAGGGTCAGGCTGAGATGGCTGAGCACACCGAGCCCACTGAGCTTCGCGAGTAAGCCACTCGCGCTCGCAAACTCATTTTGCTCGTTGTTCTTGTACATTGAACCTGCATCTAAAGCTTTGATTTATTTAATTGCATGATTGCTCTTTGCATTGCATTTGCTATCTAGCTATCATCGGCATGAAAGCGTCCTCGCACGCAATGTTTGAATGGCTTGACTCATCGGATAGGACATGGTTGGGAACTACGACATCGGCGTTTGGTGATACCTGCAACTGCATACATCTGTTGACGTTGACTTTTTTTTGAGGTTATTGAGAAACGATTTAATACAAGTACATATGAACCTTACCTGTGGTCCAGTAGATTTTTCACTCGTCTTAGTAATGTAGTAAGTTAGACAGTAATGTGGCCAAATTGATCAGTGCACTCATTATCCGACCATCTCCATACACGGAATAGCGTCCTCCACACCCACATCCTCGGCGTCAATACGAAGTCAGGAACGGCTCTACACAGCGGGTCCGGGGTACCCTCATTTTCTACTGACCTTCTAGAAGAATTCTAGAAAACACATAGAACAACACCTACTACATGCACATTGCACATTCCCTAGCTATAAGTTGATACGTTTATTCTTTATCCACTACATCATGCAAATCATAAGTTGGTCACTATTCTAGTCCTCTTATTCACTCACTAGTCAGCAAACAATACCTAGTCGGCCAGCCAGCCAGCCAGCCAGCTAACTAGCACATATCATCAGCAAAGCAATCAACCTATAATGAACCCCTCACTCACTCACTCACTCACGTAATGATAACATGAGTAATAGCACCTATCCAGTATCTTACTCTGTGGGAGTGAGTAGCATTGAATTTTTCTCCATCAATAGTAATGATGAGGAGTTGTGTAGTTCTCATCATCCTTGTTTTATCTCTAGTGGTTTTGCTATGGGTTTGTTTGTGTGCAGGTGCTTGTGGACGTTGGAATTAGTAGGGAGAGGGAGATGAATATGATGAGTTGGTATTTGAAGAGGAGTCGGTAAGTGTTTTTTTTTTTTTTTTTTTTTTTTTTTTTTTTTTTTTTTTTTTCATCTTACTTGATTTGTTTGTTTGTAATTTGAGGTACTAGTACTAGGACTGGTTCGCTGTTGGTGTATGTGTATGTGTATGTGTATGTTTGGTGCGGTGGATGGGTGGGATAGGATGGAATGAAGTATGGAAGTTGTGAATTGGTAGTAGTTAAGTAGTAAGTAGTAGTGGGAGTAAAAGAAGCTATGTGGCAGGGAGGGACGCTGAGATCATGTCCTTATTTCTATCTGAGAAAATCACTTTCTGATTACTTTATCGATAGGCTTTTGCAATAGTAAGTAGTCTGGTCCAATGTGTCATTTTGCTCAGTCAAGTTCATCGAGGCACTAGTGAACTACTAAATGAACTTATCATGTCTTACTCTTCTTGTTTACTTGCTACGCCGGAACACACATGATAACTGTATGAGTAGTATGCCAGTAAATTGCATTCTTCATACTTCTATAGACAGTCTACTTCCTTCACCACAACACAAAGCACAACTAAACTCTTCATCAACATAACAATCGATTCGCGGGAATAAACCCCAGGTATTCAGGAGAAGACTATATTCATCCAAACGAAAAGGAAGAAGACGACAAAAGGAAACACCCCCAACGCCCTTTTTTGGAACACCCATGTTTCATGACCACTATGTGTATCGAGTACTGTATTAAGAAGAAGGGACTTCGTCTCGTCATCGACCGTCCAAATCCGGACGATGCCTTTACCGACGCTGGGTCTTGCCGATGGTACGCTTTCCGGTGAACTGAAAGACACGTTAGTATGTCAAAATGGAAGTCATGATATAGATGGAGGATAGAACTTACCAAGTGCTTGGGCAAAGAGGCAGTCGTGTGACGATCGGCCTCTCCCGCTCTTGCCATCCGGTTCATCTTCTTCTGTCCCAACTTGGCCAAGCGCTCGGCCTTGGTGCGTGCCAACTCGTCGACAACACCATCGTTGCGACGGTCTGTCGCCGCCTGGCTGCGGAGACGGCCCTTGGCCTTGGCGATGGCCTGGCGCGGGTCCGACATATCGACATCCATAGCATCGTCCATGTCCACGTCGCGGGTGGTCGTGCGACCACGGACCTGGCTGTGGGAACGGGCGCGGGAGGAGGCAGCGTCCACATCGTAACCAGCCGCATCCAGAGCATCCGACATCTGGGACAGCTTCTTGGCCTTGGCGCTGCGAGGAATCTGCGCCCGGTTCTTGAGGGACTTGCGCATCTTGGCGTCGTTGCGCATCAGGGTGCGCTTCTCGCGGATCAGATCCGCCTTCATACGGGTATCGGCATCCTCCACGTCTTCGACACTGTGGTCGGACTCGTAGTAGCCGTCGGCTTCCAGCTTCTCCTCCTCTTCCTCCAGGGCAGCCAGCTTGGCCTCGATCTCGGGGTCGACAAAGTCGTAGATGTTCTTGCCGTTCCAGACCTCGGGGATCTTGTCGTGCTTCCACTCGTCGTCGGCCAGATCGTAGGTCTTCTTGAGGTCGATGTTGTAGACACCAGCACCACCGTTCTCCTCCTCGAGATCCCTCTCCAGTCTGCGGCGGTTGGGGTCGTCCTTGTCGTACTTCTTGAGCGTCTTGACGGCCTCAGGAATGAAGGTCTCGCGCTGCACACCGCCCATGGGCTGAGCAACGTGGATACGGGCAAGAACGTCACCCAGACGACCACCAGGGGTACCGGCGTTGTTGGTTCCGGACTTGAGTTTCTGAGCCACACGCTCGGCGAGGAGCTTGTCGCAGGCGGCGTTCTTGACAGCAGTCACACCCTCGGTGGTGGTGCAAGACAACTGCAGAAGCTCAACATCACCCGACTTGAGGACATTCTGGAGCTCTTGCTGGTATTCGGGCTCCAAGTCCTCAGGACGTCTCACATCAATCTTGTTCACAACAAGGAAAACGATCTTGTTGGCGAAAAGAGGCTTGATGCTGTGGAAGAGCTTGATCTGATCGCCAACGGAGTAACCGCACTGCTCGGACAGATCCATGAAGTACATGACCGCGGACCGAAGATGGGCAATGGCGGTGATGGACTGCATTTCAATGGTGTTCATCTCCTCAAGAGGGTGGTCCAGAATACCGGGGGTATCGATGGCCTGGAAACGCAGGTACTTGTAGTCAAAGTGACCGACGAACAGACTCTTGGTGGTGAAAGCATAGGGCTGAACGTCGACGTCGGCACGGGTGATGCTGCGCAGGAAGCTGGACTTTCCGACGTTGGGGTAACCGCAGATCAGGAGAGTGCGGGTGTTGGGGTCGATCGAGGGCAGACGACCCAAGTGCTGACGAACCTGCTCAAGGTAGACAAGGGGGTCCTTGAGACGCTTGCAGATGGTGGCCATACGACCAAGGGCAGCGCGCTTGAGCTGCTTGCATTGGAACAGAGACTGAGCATACTTGATCAGGCGGACGTAGTCGCGGGAGACCGTTTCGATGAGATGCTTAGCAGTCGAAACCTGACCCAGGGCAATTCTGAAGTGGTCGGCATCGTAGAGGGTGTTCATCAAATCCTTGTCTGGGAATTTGTCAGGATATGTCGTTGACCGAGAAACAGCGAGAGAGATAGTGGGGTTTTTGGAGCTCTAAGAGCAGGCAGGCGACTTACGGAAAGGATGAATATCTTGCAGTCTAGGGAATCCATCGAGGATAGCCTGGAACTTTTCGCAGAAAGTCTCCTGGGTGTATTTGACCTTTCTGGTGTAGAAGCCTGTGGGCAGAGAAGAATTTTAATTAGTTCAGCCCGAATATTTCTGATTTGCCGCTTTTGGAGCAAGCTTGTGCATCCCGCACCAACGGTGAAGAACCCAAAGACATACCGCGAATACGACTGATGTTGAATCCAGCACGGATCTGGGTAGGGAGCTGTCGCTGAGTGCGACTGAGGACGATGTCCAGGAATTCCTGGCTCGTGGGCACAGGAGCGATCTAATCAAGCGGTGAAAAAGAGACGTCAGATCGAATGTTTTTGCGACCGGATTGGCTTGTTCGGGGGTCAACGAGGAGCACTCACATCTTTCCACGTCGTCTTCATGATGGGCACCGGGGATGGAGTCGAAACAGCAGGCGACTCTTGAACAAAAACCCCGTGGTTAGTAAATAAGAGGTGGACAAGCGCAAATCTGCGTTGGAGCGATAAAAGAAAAAAAAATATTCCGGGCGGTCGGAGGCAGATTTTGGCGGGCGGTGAGCGCTGGACTAATGTGGGGAATTTCCCCCCTTTGGAGTTTCTCGGACTGCTTCTAGGCGAGGCGGCCAGCCAGCCAGCCAGCCAGCAGCTGTTGGGTACTTACGCATATTAGTAGTATACCTTCGTATCTCTTAACTCTTCGAACCATGTCTATACCATATATTCATTTACACTGACTACCGGGGACTATGATACAAATATGCCTGCCCTGACCAAACCATCCCGTGGTGCTTCAATCCGGCCATCATAATACCAGCATCATCATCATCGGTCCCTAAACCCTCGTAGCCCGACAAACGCCGTTGCTTTTTATCATGAACCCACCAGTAAGACCGAATCCTGTGTAATCCATAGCATGCGTCATATAAAATGGGGTAGTGTGAAAAAAGATCAAGAGAAACGAACAAAACGTGAGAAATCGAAGACGACATAAGAGGGCGAGGAAAAAAAACCACAACACCATGCCCCAGAGATGCAGTAGCATTAAAGAACAGGCCCACGAGCGCTTACTCCTTGGCGAACTCGAAGATCTATGGACTGTCAGCTTCGGTCTTATGCAACCAGATATATGCTGGAAAAAAAAACTTACCATGTTCACCCAGCCACCACCGCCAAACTGGCAGTTGCTAGGACCGCGGTTCTCAAAACCAAAAGATTGATAATAGGGCACCAAGGGGCCATGAGCAATGATGGAAATGCGATCGGCGATTTGCGCATCCTTGATCCGCTGAATGTATGCCTTCATCAATGTGCTGCCAACTTGCTTGCCCTGGTGTTCCGGCAGCACAGCAAGAGAGTGGATGGCAATCGTGCTGCCATACTCGTCATGACCGACGGTCTCTCCGTCCACCACAGTCATGCGCTCTTCCTGCCACTTCGCCGGTAGCTCCATAGACTTATCCGTCACCACAGGGTTCGAGGTTCTCGTGGCGATGACGTGCCCCACCAACGTTGGGCGAGGCTTAGGCTCGCCCTCACCGAGGATTGGAAGAGTAAACAAGCCGAGACATAATTCCGGGCATCTGCTCAGGCGATAACGAAACTGTGAACCCAATTAGCTCAAGCTCCAACCAAATTGCTTGACTGGCGCATAGCATCCAGCACCTCACTCATACCTTTTCGCGCGAGCAGCGCTCATGTTCAGGGAATGCCTCCTCAACCTTGACGCAATCTTCCACGTTCGACTCGGTAAGAACCTGCACGAACGGGTGCAGTTCGTCCAACTTTGTGCGTTGGTGAACGGGCGGGCGGCGGAACCAG